GACCGCCATCTTCCCCGGGAGGGGACAAGCATCGAAGGTGTTTGGAAAGGGAGGGGGGATGAGTGTGTGCATATCAGTGTATGTGTGTCCAGAGTTCAGCTGAGACAGTGTCCTTCGCCCTGCCAGGCTAAGTAAACAGTCTTCCAGCCAACCCAGGTGGCCTTGCGCAGGATAGGAAGAACAGACTATTATCAGGGTGTTTTTGTTTAGCTCCAGTCTTGAGATCACAGCTGTTGCTGGAGTGGTAGCCGTATGAAGTGATGGTGGTTTTACTTTAGTGCGAACAACTCATGTGAATTTCAAAGCTGTTCTAACAGTCCAACACTGGTCTCTCAATCTCCTGTTGGAGAGCCGTGAGCTTCTCCATGATGTTATCAAACTTACGCTCCGTGATGTTGTCCTTCTTGTGCTCAAAGAGCAGATACTGAGAACTCCAGCTTTAATTTCATGGAGAGCCGTGAGCTTCTCCAAGATGTGATCAAGTTTCGCTCAGAGGTCGTATTCTGAGTGTTCACAGCAGCCGTAAGCTTCTCCAAGATCTTATGCGTGCTGCGCTCAGTGAGCCCATTTAGAGAATTCACCACCCATCCCATCGATTCAATCCCAGCCTTGTGGGGTTTTGAACAGCTGATTCCGCTTTCTTTAATCTTCGATAAGCCAGGGCCAAGCCAGCTCCGATCAGCAAGAACCCTGTTACCATGGTTCCAAATAGGTTGATATCTTCAACACTCAGGCTCACCCGAACCCAGACTTCTCGTTGAGAAAAGGGTGTGAATTGCATTCAGGGACCAGTTGATCAAATCCGTAATTCCTCTTTAGGTTTGTGAGAGAGTGTTCCAGGGAAAAGTAATACAAAAAACACAAGACTAGACAAGGACACAAGAGGCTACTGCTTAGCCTCTTGTGTCCTTGTCTAGTAAGATAAGGGATCATGTGATCAGCGATGCTCCGTGTCTCTGTCAGCTGTTTTACTGAGCCATGAGCTCCATGAAGAGAGTCCAGAGATTCCACTAGATGGATCCTTCCAGCGTGACCTCCAGGATCCAGACCTGCACACACACACTCAGACTGCAGGGATTTAGGATCGCATCACTCACCCTCGACTGGTGAG